TATGTGAGTAGTATACTTACTGAAACAGAAAATTGTTTATAACATAGCAAGTGGGAAAAAATGTTATAAATCTGCATGTACAGCATAATCCTAATAGCTATTAATCCAAAAAGCTATTTGCTTATATAATATACATTAAAAGAATCAGCTTTGCATGCAGAAATACTAATTTTTACTTTCCGTTTTCACTTTTCTGTACTTGCCTACAGTCAATATGACGGTAATTCCTAGCAGCTTATCATTACAATTCAGTACCAAAAGGTATTACTTCTGACCTAGAAGAATGGCACATTGGACGAGCCTTTTGTTGGTCTTTCTGTGAAGTACGCACCTGAAGGAACTTGTCAAAGTACACAAGTATCCCTACTATCCAGCACAGGGATTCTACTCCGTGCTATGTGGCAGCTTGGAGGGGACGGGAGTCTGGGGGAGAATGGACACGTGTGTATGTGTGGCTGAGTCCCTTTGCTGTTCTCCTGGAACTATCACAACATTGTTAACTGGCTACACTTCAACATAAAGTTTTTTAAAAAGTACAGGGCACTGAGAAAGCACTCAATGTTGGTCTTTTTTCCCCTCAATCAAATCTGAAGCCTGATTAGGTCAACACTACACAAGTTAGAGACAATGAGTTCAATCCAATATACTAAACAAACATTTACTAAACACCTCCAATGTGCCAGATAGTGAAAATAAATACTGAAATTATTTCAGAAAGCTTTTTCTAAAAGAAACACTACATTTCCCCCCAAAGTATTATTACATTGCCAAGTTCATTTCAAAAACAGAACTCAAAACTCAATAAAATCATTTGGAAATGAACAATTAAAAAAAAGCTGAGAAAACGCAGCCAGCTTAGCCAGCTCTATAAAATTAATCAATAACATCTTAATTAATATCTTGAAATAAGTTCCCTACGGAAACTCATGAGTCTGCCAAAATAAAAAATGTTTTAACAACACTTAAAAGAAGACAAAAAACTGATGCATACTTCATAAACTTTCAAAAAATCTACACAGGGTTTCCCTACAAAATCATGAAATAGCTTCTTCCATTTGATGTTTTTAAATCTCTCCACAAACTGGTGTAAACATGCAAGGTACATCAACACACTGATAAATGCAATCACAAAGAGGCTTTTTAATCAAATAAATTGACTACTATCCCCTTTACGTTGGCCCTTGCCAGAAATGAATGTGATGCAATTCTCATTTCAAACTTTTCCTTGTAAGTAGTACTCCATCATTTGTGCTGCAAGATTATGTGCATATTTTTTAAAAGAGCCAAAATTACTGATTTAAAACTCTTAAGTCGAGAGTCAAGATAAATAGCAAAACAAGACTGAAAGATAAACTATACAAAGAAAAACTGTACTTTTAGTCATTTAGAAAACACAGTTTAGTAAAGAAATTACATTCAACTGCAAAATGACTTCAAAAAGTTCAGAGTCAACTCAACTTTTAAACACAGAGCAATGGTAACAGGACACACACAGGGCAGACACTTCCTAACGGGACGGTACGCTGCTGCCCTTCAGAATGCTGAAGATTCCTGCTTACCAAAGAAAATAAAAATAGAACATGAATTTTGCCCCAGGCTTCTTTGTAAAGGAATATCCAAAAAGAAAAAAAGAGGTCAATTTCATTCTAGCCCATTTTAGTAATAGAAAGACATCTGTGAGTGGTTTAAAATAACACTGTGAATGAGCACAAGCAAATGATTCTCTTTTCATCTCTCATCTTTTTCCAGTTAAAGGAAACAAAATGGTTCCCTGTTTACAGGGACTCTATCCCTCTCTCAACTCAATCAGTGTACCATTTTTTATTTTTTTTACTCTTATATTTAAATATTTATCTACTAGTAAAGACTCTTGAAAATACTGCTGCTCTACAGAGAAAACCAACCACTGCCCAAATGCCTGGGATCCTCCTTCTCATGTCCAAAATCTTCCAGTCAACACCCTGCATATATGCCCTGAGGGTTCTGTTGCTTCTTTCTTAGCTGAGCACTCATTGCCACATATGCTCCTGAACTGGTATATCCTCAATAATTAGGATCAGCTCATTTTAATCAGGGCAAAAAGGATGCCCAAGTGCCATATATTGAAAAATTAAGAACCATACATTCTAATATAAGGCTCCTTCACAAATCCCCTCCCTTACCCGAATTATGCCATTTGAGATCATTGATACGTGTTCTCACCAAGAAAACATATTTAAGTTTCATCAGCTTATTGAACTTCTAAGAGTTCCTTCTATTTTTCCTCTCCCGAGTTAACCACTTTTATTTATATAACTAGAAGTACACATCTTTCCACCAAACTAAATAAATAAACCTGATATGGATAATTTCTTCCTAACTTACCTGGTCTAAACAGGTCCAATATCATTCAATATTATAGAAAAAATTAAAACTTAGGCTTAGAAGAGATGTTCACATTCCTGTCTACCTACAACACTGACTTACATACTTGCAAGAAGCCTGAGGTAATTTCTAAACTTCCTTAATTTTTTATCAAGAATAGTGCCAAAGAAAGTGGGCCACCTTAAAATGCATCATATTCTTCATCTCATTATTCAGTTCTTCTATGTCTGTTCTTTCAACATTAAAGACCCTATCATACCTAATTCTGTTAAATCTGTTCCTCAAAAGAAATGCCTCCATGAATGCATCGTTAACATTCAATACTATTCTCACCACTTTACACCCAAAACTACTTCAACTAATGTTCTTAGCACAGTCTGAGTACAAACCAGAAATGTACAACTATGTTAGCTGAATAATAATACCCATACCTGCTGTTCTGTGTGTGTGTGTGGGTGTAGGGCGGCTGTTTTCTATGACTGAGCACTAACAGACCAATAAAGCAGTTGTTTCCCTAATTTAATTATATATATATCACCTACTATCACACAAATATGGATAACCTTATAAAGAAGTACCAAATGTTTCTGGAGTAATTATAATAAGCACTTACTTGAGATGAAATCAAGAAAGATAAGCCCTTTGTTACCTGATAATTTAAATATACACAGACACCTCAAAAGGTTATTTTATAGCCTTTTAGGAAAAAGCAAAAGAAATTATTTTTAAAAAGCTATGGTAAACATCTTAAGAACAAATTCTTTGTTTATAAAAATGTATAAGCTAAACACAACTTTCACCTTTGTGTTATATAAAAGCATAGAGGACTTTTAATAGAATATAAAAGTTTAATAGTAACAAAATATACTACAGGCATACAGACATACCAGATTTAACCAAAGTAAAAAAGACTGAAAAACAAAAGCCTAATTTGTTTAAAAATATTTAAATTATTAAAAGTTATTTTCTGCTTTAACAGAAAAATCACTAACTTGCAATAAATTGCTTTACCACTTAAGCCAATTATTTGTAATAGCAACACTAACAGAATCAAAAAGTAAAATTGACTTTTTGGATATTTAGTTTTAAAATGTATATTATCAACCTAAGAAAATAAATGATACATTTAAAAATCATTGAAAGTTATCAAGCAATGGCTGTTCTTAAAACTGGGTATTTAAAATAGAACTATGCAACTATATTGCACAATTGATCATAAGATTTGTGAGATAGTGCCTGTGATTTATGAAGTGATTTTAAAAAGACATTTTAACCTATATTAACAAACATCCACTATCCTTATTAACTTAATCCTTAATCTACCATTATAATCACAATCTTTTGGAATATTTGTTGGCACTTAAGTGAGAGTATTTCCCTAGTTCCCAATGGACATATAACCTGCACTTTTGACAAAATCATTATGAACATTAACTTCACACTAACTCCTGGACATAATAACAGTACAGAATAGATAGCTACTTCCTAAGAACTGTTGTTTTCTAGGGGACGTTAGGGAAAAAACTCAAGAAATTCTCAGTCAGAGACATAAGATATTCTTGGGCTAGACTTAAAGAGACCAAGGTCAACAATGACTTGCATATTGTCAAGTCAAGAGGTCAGTTCTATGACCACTTATTCAGACTCTTTAGAAGCATCTGACATAGGTTTACAGCTGATTGTCCCGTAAACACTTCTTTCTGTAAGCTGCAGTGATGACACAATTTCCTAGATTTCCTCCTCCCCCCGCCAGCTGCTCCTTCTTCAGCTTTTCTACTGGGCCCTCTTCCCCACCCAATCTCTGAACCTCACAGGCCCAAGGCCCTCGTGTCTTTTTCTCTCCACCCTTTTCCCCAATCTTCTTATCCAGTACCATGGCTTAAAATACAGTTAAATGCTGATGGTCCCCAGCCTATAACTTCAGTTCTGATCTTTTTACATTCAACTGCCTCAATAAGTCCACTTGAATGTTCAGTTCAGTCACTCAGTCGTGTCCAATTCTTTGCGACCCCATGTATCAAATAGAAATCATGATTTTCCACTGCAAACCTGGTTTCTTGTAAAGGCAAGAAACACCACCGTTCTCCTAGATGTTCATCATTCTCTTTTCCTCCCATATGTACATCAATCCACCAGAAGGAACAATGTGAAAATGGAACCCAACTCAGTTCACTTTCCACCTGTGGATTATATTACCTGCAGATCTATGCTTCTTTAAGAATGAAAAACAAAAACTGGTTACAGATGCTGACAGAAACAGCATTTATGTACATGAAAAGACTGATTGAACAAATGTAAGGAAAATCAGCAAAGATGACTGCTTAAAAGCACCCTACATGCCACTGTAGAATATGAATTCACAGCCTGAGACAGAATGGTAAAAAGAGCTTTAAATGGGTAGAAAGTCCATTTAGAAGCAACTGTACTCCACAAACAGGTACTATCTCATCAACCTTTACTGTTTATGTGACTGAATCTTCCAGTTTCTCTATGAGCAAAGTAGTAAAAAAAACTTTTGGCAAACATATTTGTTTTTATTTTAGTGACATCGTCTGATAGTAGGCTCTGGGAAAAACGGAATATGAATTTAAAAACTAAAAGAGATTCATATTAACAGTAATTGAGTCACAGCATACCGTACAGAGATCCTTATATTGCAGCTTTTGGAATTTTGTATCTGTGTTTCCTGCACATAGCTCCACATAGCCAAGAACAACTTGAAACACGGTGTTATGAATGGCTTGGGTGAAGTGCATATGAAGTTGGTCCATTGCTGTCTATGGAATAAAGCACATTATCACCTATTACTAAAATAAATTACTAAAACAAAAAAACAGATTTGAAAAACATAGGAAACCATCTTTACCAATTTTACCTGTAGCACAAGTAACTATTATTCACAGAATTATAAATGTTGATTATTTGCAGCTAACCCTTCAAGCAACCACAACACGATACCACTACACATAAACCTGAATCATACACACTGCTCTGTTGCTCCACATTTAAGACTGGTACCCAGCTTGCCAAACATGTCACGCCTAATCACACCTTTGAATTCCCTCTGCCATCCTTTCATTTTCAGGATTCTCAGCGGTCACCTCCTCAGAGAAGCCTTTCCTGACTATCCCATACAAACCAGCACTTCGCATCACTCTGGACCCTTACACTGATTTTCTTTCTTTAATGTCTGTCTCCCAAACTAGAAGGTGAGATACACGAGGGGTTATATCCAGGTGCCTGGAGCAATGCACATAGTTGGCAACAATAAATATTTAATGAGAGAAAGAATTCATCTAGTGGGGGAAATTGGAAGTTATACTGCTTAAAGACCTTTGAAAATACATATCCCTCAAAATTACCAAATGTCTTCCTTCTTGTATTTTCCCTAGGTATATCTTAAGATATCAAAACTAATTAAGTACAATAAATAACCATATTTCTTTATTCACATTACACAATGTAAATAGTTTGGTAAAGTCTTAAATTTCCTTCTAATAAAAGAGACTTACATTTACGGGAAAAAAAATTTACATCAATGTTTTGATGTTCTCAAGAAAAATGTATACTCCTATATGCAGAAGATGTAATTAACTTTCAAACTATGGCCTCCACTTCAGGCTTTCAAGAAAGCCCCTCAGAAGTAAGAAGAGGTAAAGACATGCAATATGGGAATAGTGAGGACATTCTGGGGTAACAGAATCCTTTGAAAACTCTGATAAAAGAAACAGACCTGTTTTAAAACAAATGTACGCAATACACAAAAGTTTATAGACCACTGTGAGGGAATCACGCTGGCCCACCTAGGAACCATGAGGTTCCAACCTTAAAAGGTCTTATTCAGGACCAAGAACTGCGGTAAAAGAGACTACATATCCTCACCCACTGAATTATAGTATACTTTTTTTTAAAACTACAGGAAATGATGAAAATATTAAACCTGAGACACACTTCATAGTTTAAAACAGACCTCAGTAATGTATTAATCACACTACCCACACTCTGAGCTTATGCGATCCTGTTACCATTGTTAACACATCATAAAAATTTACTTTCTTCAATTAAACTTTTTAAGCACACTACATTAATAATATTCAAACTTCAGCAATCAGGAAGAGCAACAGATTATTGATTAAGAAAAAAAAAATCCTTTTAAAACTTACCTGTGTTTTTCCAAGAAGTCGATAAGCTTGTTGAACTTTGGTGTAATGGTTAATGTCAAAATTCTTGCAGATTTTGGACAGAGCAACATCCAACTGTTCCTATGTAATTAAAAGAGAAAGTGAGAGGTGGTTAAGGAATCATGTTTTCAAGGTAGTAAGAAAATATTAAGACTAATTCCTCACTTTTAATTAATACCTAAACACATTACTATCACACTGGATTGAATAGTCAAAAATAAATTTAATTAAAAACATAAGTTGTAATTTTTTTTTTTTGGCTATACCACACTGCTTATAAGCTCTTAGTTCCCCAGCCAGGGATCAAACCCAGGATATGGCAATGAAAGCACCAAGTCCTAACCACCAGGGAATAAATTATAATTCTTATTACCAACTATACTCAAGTTTATTGAGATGTTATTAATATGTGAATTTTTAAAAAAAAATTTGCTGAGTGTTTCTAGGGACACAAAATAATTATAATAGTCTCTAAAGGAATTCTAGTTTTTATTTTTTACTTAGCTTTATGTTTCATCAAGCATCAACTAAAATCGTGTAATTATATGAACTGAGTTTGTAGGGTTACTGAAAAATAAAACAACCCTTCTAAATCACTGAAAAGTAATTCTCAACAAAACTACATTGACTTAAAAGTATATACCTCAAGGTATTGCCTTTTTATATCTAAGTATATCCACTTTGTTTATGGATTTCTATCTCAATGACTTCATTTTAATTATAAGAATGAAGAAGACAGTTTTCAAAAGAGAGTCTTCATTAAAATGTTCAGGTGACACCCCCAAAAAAAAGAAAGAAAGAAAAGAAAAAAATCAGGTGATTATTTACTTAAGGGACTTTCAAAATAATTCTGTTTATGCTTACCAAATAAATTATCATTCTCACTATGGAAATAATTGCATTTATGATCAAAAACTACTTTCACAAAGGTCATTTGAAAGTCTAGCCTCAACCTTTCTAAGAACTCTCATCAGGAAAACAATAAAATAAAATCTCAGAAGAAACTAAATAATTCTTATTAAATGTATTTAAATGAACCCTCTGCTTTACAAAGATTGCTAAGACTTTATGCTCACAATGACATAGCTTTTCATTTCCAGTTTCTGCACGTTTGAGGAATTGTATGAGATGTTATTATAAGGTTTATGAATTTAGGAGGGTTATCATCAATTAATAAAATTTTAAAAAAATCATTCTTAAATTCAGTAAGCTAAAAAGAAGAAATAGTTGATAATCAAAAACTAATTAATGCATGGTAAATATTCTGCCTATAGTTTATGTGAGAACACACCTATAGCTAAGAGTTTAGGAATCTTTGTAGATATGGAAATATTTTCAAATACTTTTTTCAGACCCTACAATTGCAAAAGTATCACTGAGAGAACGAGTAAATTAACATTAACTTGATCAAGTCTGTTAATATTAACAGACATTCCAAATGAAAACCACAAAGGGTAGTGATCTACAAACACTGGTAATAATACGGAAGTCAAAATGTAAGATACATCTATCCTATTCAAAACCCTCTGAAAAGAAAGTCATTTACCTTAAGATATAATCCTTCTTACCTCGATTTGTTCTAAAGTATCTTGCAACTTTGAATTCAGTTCACTATTAAATAAAACAGAATTAGGTGTGTCAATTTTTTAAAGAGACAAACTAGATGAATAAACACTTAAATTGACAAATCAACACTATGAGCAGTTAAGTTGTGCTGATTCTATATACAGTACGATAAGGCAAGAAAAATAAACAAAAGGAAAAAAATTAGAAAGGAAGAAATAAGAGTCATCACTAGCAGCAACAGTATTGTGTGGACAGAAAATCCTGAAGACTTTATAGATAAAACTAAGAATTTAAGAATTAAATACTGATAGCAAGTTTTAAAGATAATATGTGTAATATAGATGAAAAGTAAAACAAAGGTAAAACTAATCTCTATATATCAAAAACAAGGAATTAGACAATGAAATTTTTAAAGATATGCCTCAAAAAACCAAATACCTGGGAATAAATCAAATAAAGAATATACAATACAAAACAGAGCCAAAATAAAGAAGACAACTACACAGAGGTATACCATGTAAACAGACTAAAATCTTTACTATAACTGATACTAATTCTCACAAAAATGATATCTTAAAATAACAGATTTCTTATTAATATTAAGCCAGTAGGCTTTTTAATGGAGAAACTGACAAGCTGCTTCTAAAATTTATGTGGAAACTCAAAGGGCTACGACTAGTCAAGAAAACCCTGAAGAACAATGCTGTAAGACACACTAAAATAGTTACTATATAGTAGACTATATATTTGTAATATATATGCAGTTATATATATATAACTTACTATAAAGTTACAGCAATAAGGCAGTGTGGCACTTATTATAAGAACACATTAACACATCAACAGAACAGAATAGAAACAAAGGGTAAAAGCCTTAAATACTTGACAAAGAAGATATTCAACCGGCCAATAAACATAAATATGCACTATTTCAGGCATTCAGGAAATGCAAATTAAAACTATAAAAAGATTATAACAAATGACTAGAATGGCTAACATTATTTTTAAACAATTAAAAACAACATCAACAAATGTTGGCAAGAATGTAGAACAATAAAATGCTCAACTCAATGCTGGAGAAGGAAAAAGTGATACCACCTCTCTGGAACCATTAACACCTCCTGAAACTCAACATACACTTACTCCAGGTCTGTCTATCAGAAGTGCATACACAATCCCCACAACATTATTTGTAACAGGCAAAAACATGAAGCAGCTCAACTGTCTATGAAAAATTAAAGGGATATATTTATTTACATGATAAAATACTATAGCAATGAAAATGTGTCACCTGAATCTCAAAAACATAATACAAAAGATGTCAGTTTAAAAAGTACATACTGTATGATTCCATTTACATAAAGTTCAAAACGGGCAAAAATAACAGTAGTGACAGAAACCAGAACAGTGGTTACCTTGGTAATATAATGACTGGAATGAGGCATGAAGGAAGTTTCTAGGGTCCTAGAAATGTTCTACTTCTGTTTTTATTTCTGGGAAGTAATTACACAACTATGTTCTCCCTTTGTAAAAATGTACTGAGTTATACATTGAGGATATGTGATTGAATCTGATTTTCTTCCTCTTTAATCCTCCAGCATTAGTGTTAGTTGCTCAGTTGTTCTCAACTCTTTGCAATCCTATGGGCTGTAGCCTGCCAGGCTCCTCCATCCACGGGATTTTTCAGGAAAGAATACTGAAGTGGGTTGCCACTTCCTTCTCCAAGGGATCTTCCAAGCCCAGGGATGGAACGGGACCTACCGCATTGCAGGCCGACTCTACCTTCTGAGCCATCAGGGAAGCCCTAATTCTCAAGAGATCAGTTTAAAAACAACTGATATTTGAATTATAACACCTCATTACTGAAAAATATCTGCTGTTACCTAAAAAAGTAAATACAATTTTAGAGAAAACATTTTGACAAAAGGGATTAAAATAAAATAGTAAGAACAAGAGAAAGATATATTTTCACAGCAAAATTATACAAGGGGTGTTTTTTGTTTTTTTCTTACAACTGTCTTCTGATCATCAATGTGATTCTCAAAGTCCTAGCAGTCAAAACAAATAGGGAAGGCCACAGTACACAATTCGGTGTCCAGAATATCAAAACAAACCAGTAATTTAAGAGAAAGAGCAAAAACAAAGAGACAAAACTCACTTTTGCTGGCATTAAATTCAGAGAGAAAATTTTGCCAGTCTTGATAAAGAGAAGAGCAATATTTTCTCTCCTAAGGCACAACACCCTCAGCAACAGCCTTACAGAATATACAATATGGATTCATGGCTTCCTTGAAAGAGCCTTTTAGTGCTCTTTTAGTGCAAACTGAGAAGATAACAACAAGGTGGTTTGATAGAAAGATACAGACATATACAAATGCAAAGCAATCTGTCAGGAAAGTGAAACTAATAATAATACAAGTACCCAGTTTTGAAGGCCTCAAAGATAAACACTCAAACCCTTGGAGGAATTAGACCATTCTCAACAAATACTATGTACCATAAGCATGCTTTTAATTAAGGTTGAGAATGGAAGATTATACTCTCAAGTAAAAACTGAAATGAACAAGCCTTTATCATTTGACAATCAACCGTGTAGGAATCTGGAGAAGTGAATGGCTACCCACGCCAGTATTCTTGTCTGGAGAAGCCCATGGACAGAGGAGCCTGGTGGGCTACTGTCCACGGGGTCACAGAGAGCTGGACACAACTGGGCAACTCAACAGAAAAGGCAACAGTCTTGTGCACCTGACCATCTCCTGCTGTCATCTGGCAGCTTCACATGTATGTTACCTGCCTGGTCCCTAAAGACAGCTAAGTTTGCAGTTCCTAAGTGAAGCAGAAATAAAAATTGTATTCATCCACTGCTTTAACACCTTTGGTGATTCCCCATGAAACCAAGGATAAAGCCCTAAATTAGCATGGCACGTAAGACTCTTCATAATTGACAAAAAAGTAACTTCCCATTCACTTTTCAGTGCCTCTACAGTTGACCCTTAAACAACAGGGATCTGAATTGCACTGGTCGACTTATAAGAGGATGTTTTTCAATAGTAAATTCTACAGTACTTCCTGATCCTCAGTTGGTTGAATCTGTAGATGCGGAATCACCTATTCAGAAGTCCAAGTAGGTAAGTTATATGTGGATTTTTGAGGAAGCCAAGGGTGAGCACCACCAACCCCTAGGTTGTTCAAGGGTCAACTATGTATTTAGTCAGATGAACTAGGTGCAAATTCCCCAAACAAACCCCAGGCTTTTCCATTCTCTGTTCTTGCATGTAATGTTCACAATAGCTAGAAAGTACATCCCCCTTTCTCACTCCCAAATGTCATTTTTTCTGGGAAGTCTCTCTCTCCTAACTAACTGTTCCCTTAAATTACACAGTGCTCGGTTTACAGCACCCTGAATTAAGATTAAAGAAGTATCTGTGACTGTTTATCAGAGCAGACTGTGGCTTATTCCCCAGGGATTCCCCAGGACTAACTAAATGCACTGCCTGACTCAGAGCAGGAAATAAACATCTGCTGAGTCAAATCTGCAATTCAAACAAAAAACAGCAACCTTTAACCATCACTCCTTTAGCTCCCATATTCTATTTCAATTTAAAAAAAAAGAAAGAAGAACATTTTAGAAAAATGTTCTAAAAAAAAAAAGAAGAACAAGAGTCAGACAGGACTCTGGGTCTACAGGGGTCTTAGTAAAGGAAAAAAATAAATAAATAAAGAGACGCAGAGAAGTTGGTTCTACTCCTCTATCACACAGCACTCAGAAGTTCACTAAGGCTGAAGACACAGACATGGAGAGGCAAGAACACCCAGAATAATAAGTATCAGAATTCATAAACATATTCTTTCAGGGAATATTGAGTTTGGAGAAAAAAAGGAATATATCTAAACTAATTCAGAGGTGACAGTAACAATTTCTTCAGCTTCTCAACTGAAAAAAATGGGCTTCAGAATTTATTCACAATATTTTCATAAATCTAGGTGCTTTTATTCCTTCTATTATTTATGGTTAAAATGATTTTGTAGCCTATATATTAAGAGTTAATGCAAGCATGGTAATGTATATAGTATGCAGAAAATTTTAAATATAAAATCTATAAATCAACCATTTTAGTTTTATTAAAAATGCTTTCAAGAGGGAAGGGATATACGTATGGCTGATTATTCCTGGTGGCTCAGACGGTAAAGCGCCTACCTACAATGTGGGAGACCTGGGTTCAATCCCTGGGTTGGGAAGATCTCCTGAAGAAGGAAATGGCAACCCACTCCAGTATTCTTGCCTGGAAAATCCCATGGACGGAGAAGCCTGGTAGGCTACAGTCCATGGGGTCGCAAAGAGTTGGATACAACTGAGCGACTTCACTCACTCATGGCTGATTCTTGTTGCTGTGTGGCAGAAACCAACACATCATAAAGCAATTATCCACCAATTAAAAATAAATTTTAAAAAATGCTTTCAAAATCTACAACTGTAGTTTGATAACAGTTGGCTACTAATTAACATATACATATAAAAGTATGATTAAGGAGTGGACATATTAAATGTGGTATTTAAAGAAATCCTCAGCCATCATTCAGAAACATGAATTTCAGTTATTTGGGTCAGTTAATCAGAGTATGTAAAAAGGACCTAATCATGAACATTTGGATAAATAAAAGCTACATTATGGTCAGAAAAATTACTAGTTGTAAGATGAAAGACTAAAAGCTATTAAAAGCTATTTGCAAGTGAGTGGAATGACTCAAACAATTTGGAGGGCATTTTTATAACCACTACAGAAAATATTAAAAATAACATTCATAAATAATTAACTTTCCTTTTAAGTAGTTGCTCTGGGACACACACTCACAAAATGTGTCCTAGAAAAGTGCAATTTGACTGTACTTATTGAAAGTCAAGATGGTATGGAAGTAATCAGCCTCTTAACGATCTTTCCATGGTTTGTTATTAAGCCAAGTGATTTAAGACAAGTCTCTTAGTAACTCTGGGCACCAGTTTCCTATACAAAAGTGGGCTGGATCTAAAGGGCTGCTTCCAGCTC